CTCTTATTACAAAAAGGTGCTGTCTCATTTTTATGCTTATGAAATAGCAATTATTTCTCTAAGTCAAACATTGAATTTGGACAGAAAAAAACCCTAGTCACACATAACAAGTAGTTGCCACTTGTTTTGCCATCATTAGAAAACTCACCAAAAACCTCTACTAACCTACTGGTTTATTCGTTACACCAAGCAATGAACCACCAATGTCTTCAATATCTAGAAATACCACACCACAAATGGGTGGCTTCAGCAAAGAAAAATTTAATGTTTCACAGGTTAGAAGGCTAGAAGTCCAAATTCAGGGTTCCTACTCAAACGTAAAGGTAAAAGTCTTCTCTCTGATCAGCTGATTGCATCAGATCCTATCATGGGAGGTAGATTACAGCATTATTTAACAGCCAAATTAGACCATTATACACGTCTCAAGCCAGTGAAAATCACGGCCCCACTGAATAGATACATATTTTGGGAGGAAACAAATCAATCCATGACAACCAGTCCCTTAAATATCAAAGGTTGAAATATCAGATGTCCCTTGTGTGGAGATCTCACCTTTAGTTAAGAGAAATGTACTGCCCCATAAATGTAGAGTAACACGGTAATCATTATCAATTAAAGCAACATATACGCCTAAAACTCTCATCACAGTCTTCTGGTTAAAGTCACAGGGCAAACTTCTCATTGTGAATTACGGCTAAGTTCCAAAGGACCAAACTAAATCAGAAATAAGGCACAAGTCCATTCACCCAAGCCGAAAATAAGCTGCCTAGATCCGGTCTTGCTAATTCTTTGGTTGCTGGCTGTGCTTTTTGTCAAGTCAAGATGTAATCAATTAGTACATGCAGCTTAGAAATACTTTAAAGTAACCTCATGACAAATATAGGGTTCTACGTTCATACTTCTAGAAAAGAAATAGATTGGCCAGTCTCATATAGCTTTTATACTTATTTTTTTAAATACTAGGCCAAAATCTACACTATATTGAGTATTAAAAACAACAACAACAGAGAAAGAAAACAACAACAACAACAACAACATGTTCAGAAGAAATGTTCCTAAGAGAGCAGGGGTGAAAATAGTAGATAATTCTCAGAGATCAAATGTCCATTACCAGTGATTCATCAGTCTTGTCAAAGCTGATATCTGATAAAATGGAACCAGATTCATCAATGGTCGACAGTCTAGATGAATGAAACAATATAGTATTAGACACAGCAGAAAGTTTTAAGACCCACCAACAGTCAAAATAAGTGCTGCCAGTCAGGTAACCAGTAACTTCAGAACAGTATTTTCTCTATGAGAACTACCCACGCAAACCCCAGCTGTGAAGAGCTGCTTTTTATCGCTTCCATGGGGGAAAGTGTGCGTGTGCCCTGGCACACATGCAGCACAGTTGCTGTATAACGAAAGCCTTCTAACAGGAGCTGACAGTTACGGTTGGGTACAGGTGCAAATCTCTGCTGAGTCTGTGCAATAGGCTACTAAAAATTCACAAGACAGAGTACAGTTCCACTTGATCCCACTGGGGAGGCTGTTTGCGACAGAGTATCAGCAAGCATTGGCTTTTCCGAAATTACATGCGCTTGTACATCTTCTTAGGTATAAAGACTCCCCATAAAACAACCAGGTGACAAAATAAATTGCTCTAAGAGTGCTGACCTTTCCCTACTTATTGTATTGGGGGTGTTAAATTCAAAGGCTGATTGAGGCTGTTTTAAAAATTGATGCAGTGGAACCAAAATTATTGTCTGGTCCTAGCTTACAGAAGCTTTTCTCAACTAGAAGAAGCTACAAGAGCTCTCTGGAGAATAAACATGGGAAGTATTGCTGAACTGCCACTTTCACCTTCAGGTTTCCTAGCAATATGCGGGCTTACTTAGTAATGTGCAAGGTAGCACTCACAACCAAATCTTACCCCGGGTGAAACAACTTCCTACGGGGGGAATAAAAATTAAAATAAGGAGGTCTCTGTGCCTTTATTCCCAACCCTTCCCCCAAAGTCTTTCTGCCTTATTCAGCACACATTCCAGAAGCAGTATATTTCAGAGTTCAGATAACACAAACTTCTGACAGCTGTGTTGCTCACAAGATCAGATAACAACAGATGCAGTTCCCCCACCTTTTGTTCCCGGCATTGCCACTGGATGGTTGGCCCCTGTTGAGAAAAGCCAGAGCTGATTTTTGCTCCTCACTTAGTTGAATGCTGCCAGATGTGTCACACATGAGCATCTCTCGAATCAGCTGAATCTGTCGTTCCTATGGACCACAACAGAGTAAAACATCATAACTAGCCAGGGAAGAGAGCTTCACCTCAAATTTATGGGACAGGCAGACCAGAAGACATTAAAATACAGCATTATGCAAATGGGCCTTCAAGAAGACTGCTACACCAATAGCATATTAATTCACATCCAGCCCAGATTGTGCCTCTGATTTCTGACTGGTAAAAATGAACTCCAATTAGAATAGTGGGGGTTCTGCCATAAGATTTCTAAATTGATCTGCTAGCCCAAGAGGCAAGTAATGCAAAATGAGAGCGTCAAAATAGATTCTGTGTAGCAAAAAACACGTTAGGGTCATTTTATCAGAACAATTATTGGCTTCTCCTATGGATCAAAGCAGCCACCCACCTTTCTAAATGGTGGTGCAAAATGCATTAAAATGGATACAAAGCTGTAACATACTAGAACCAGACCATATGCTTTTACTGAGGCATCTTACACTGTACCAAGATGGATTAGAGTCTCCTAGCAAAGGCTTTCCTTTGCACCATGACCCACACCGGTATATCAAAGTGATAGTGTTCTATGTCAGTCATTGTGTTCCACTGGTGGAATACATCTAGCCCTTTACACTGAATTAGAGGACTGAGGCAAACTTTTTTGTCAAGCCTGTATCAATAACAAACTACTAGCTATTGACAAAAAGATGAGGATATTCTGAGTAGCACTTATAATCAGCAATGGGGAATGGGGAATATCTGGGACAGGTCAAGTACACTGGATTTCTCTGCCTTTCCCTCTAATTTTAATTTTTAAAATTCTCATTTGAAATCTTGCCTATTAAGTATTATTTTTAAGCTTAAGGAAAAGAAAAGGAATTTTACACTCTGAAGAACAGGATTCCTAGGTTACAATTTCAATGTCAATAAGTTGTCAATGGGTAAATAGATTTCAGTTCTTCAATGTGAGAGAAGAGACCCAGACAGATCTGGCTTCTCCCTCCTCCACTATCACAGTTCTAGTAAGCCCTCACACAGAAAACAGTACACACCAGCTTCTCACAGTCAGCCTCAGCTCGCTGTCTCCTTTTGATCTCCACATCCACCTGATTGCGTGCGTGCTTCAGCTTAACATCCAGAGCGCTACGCTCAGTCTCCGCTTTCATCAAAAGATCCTTGTATTTCCCCAGCTCTTGGTCTGTTCTCTGCCATTTCTTACGAAAATCCTCAAAGTCCTTTGCCAATTGGATGAATTCTGAGGAGAGAAGGCATCTTTAAAATAAATTCAAGTCCCAAACTGAGTATAAATACTCTAATTATTGAGTCCTATGGTTAGCTTTACTCCAAAGACAGAAAACTGGCTGAACGATAGGCAAATTCAACTGAAAATAACAAGGAGCAGACCCTGGGACCCTGGATATATACTCATCACTCCAGATGAGAGTTTTATAGAGAAGAATTGCAGTTTCAATGGGCCACTTATTTTTGGCTTAGCCAGTGGCATCTGCAATGAAATAAGTAACTCATTAGTCACCTGGCTCCAGATGTAACACCAACACTGAAAGCTCCTGAACAGAAGGCAATCAAAGGGGGATACCTTTGGGGCAGCTGTCATGCACCAGGACAGTTACAGCTATAAAACAAACCAGCCTGCTTCACAGTCACGCATTGCTGCGCCAGAGAGATGTTGAACAGCAAATTCAAATGTAACTGCTGTAATATGCTCCAGTAGACGTAGATTAATATTATAGATGTCTAGGCTTGCAATTCCATCCAGCTATATAATTATACAAACATTGATTTGAAAGTAAAGAACCAATTTGCTTTTGCTGTTTAACACTGCCCTGAAGGGTATGTAAACATTCCAGTTGGAAAGACACAGAAAGAGAAGATACCAGCTTTGGGTGAATCACTGATGACAGAGTTTGAACTCTTTTCAAATGTCTGCAAGAGAAACCATGGCTTCCCAGACAGCACTTTCTTATTACTTGCTATTGGTTAAGACTGCTTTTCTATAACATATTTGCAAAAGCACCTCACAATTTTTCTATATAACCTCAATCTATCTCTAAGCATCACTCCCCACCAGCATCATGGAAAAGGTTCCAACGTGTACATCTGCTGTTGGTCAAACTAACCCAATTCACAGCTGCAACTAGGCCAACTTCATACAAAGCTAGCAAAGTCTTAGGTATTAAGGGCATTTCCCCACTTGAATTTAACCTAAGAATATGGAAAATAATTAATACAGTGTGCTTATTAAGACTTTTTTCAATTTGACTAAATTTTAAACTTGTAAATTAGGATACAAATTCATTCTTGATTTCTTGAGAAATCAAGTCTTATATAAAATACAAGTTTTTAGCAAGGAAGGACATTGTGACCTAGTTACTTTGTATCTCACATCTCAAACAAAATGTTATTATAATTCAAATATGCTTAAGTGATATGCTGGTTTATTTAATAGTTTGGAACACATTATCAGATTTTTTTGCTTTGCTTTAAAAGAAATACACAAGCAATATATCCCTTTATGACTTAACACTTTCAGTATGAAACATTCACTAGGGGAAATGTAAAGTGCCCAGTCACAAGAGCTGGTTAAGTTTCATTGGTACTTCATCAAAGTATTCTTCAGATATTTGAATATGTCATTTCAAAACATAAAGAACACATACGAAATACATTTTCAACTAACCCAACCTTAAAAACGTTCTAGCTCCACACTGTGGTCAATTAAGAGCTATTTCTAACTAAAGTGTTGCATACACTCAAATATTTTCTGAATTGACAAACAGTAAAATCATCTAATCTAATTTTGTTGCTTGTTTTTTAGAAAGAGATACTCCTTTGGGGGAAGTCTTAATTTGTTACCATTCCTATTCATTGTTAACTGGCACACAGTAGACACAAACTATTCCAATTTGAGACGCAAAACTAATTGATCCATTTCAAAGAGAAAATTCCTATTTTAATAAACAAATGATTAAATTACTGGTTAAGTTTATGTTAGACCAAAACCAGGCATCTGCATATCTGCATAAGGTATTATTTTTACATATTACTCTATTATAAACAAGTTGGTAGTACTGGGTCATTTTTACATCAGTTTGTAGCTAACAATCCAGCATAGTATGCTCAAAAGACTTATTAAATCCAAGTAAAATACATTAATATGCATACATGGCAGGGTTTCAAAAAGTTGGTGGGAAAACTCCATTCTCTTTTTATTCTATTCTTTCACATACTTTTTGAAGCCAATTCATAAGCTATTAGACCCAAAAGTAAAAGATGTCTATAAAAAAATAAGGGGCTCATTCACTCACTCTCTCACTCATTCACTTACTCTCTCACTCACTCACTCACTCTCTCACTCACTCACTCACTCTCTCACTCACTCACTCACTCACTCACCCACTCACTCTCTAATTCACTCACTCTCACACTCTCTCACTCATTCACTCACTCACTCACTCTCATTCACTCACTCACTCACTCTCTCACTCACTCTCACACTCTCATTCACTCACTCACTCATGCATTCTCATTCACGCATTCTCATTCACTGATTCACTCACTCACTCTCTAATTCACTCATTCTCACTCTCACTCACTGACTCACTCTCTCACTCTCTAATTCACTCACTCCCATTCACTCACTCACTCTCTAACTCACTCACTCAATCACTCTCTCACTCACTCACTGACTCACCCTCTCACTCATTCTCTCATACTCTCACTCACTCACTCACACTCCAAAAAAAATAATAAGGGAAATTTCCCTGAAGCAAATAGAGAAAAACATTTTTTTTATTCATTTAAATCCTAAATAGATTAATGCAGAACCCTCTTTTGTTCAGTTTACTCCCCCTAGGGCCTTTGCACAGGCTCTCTCCCAAACCTCTGTCTTCCCCACTACCCTCTATCTAATATTCATAAAGGCAGAGAACATTTTTGCTCTTTTCTCTCAAGTACCCTGCATTCAACCTAGCATGTAACAGCCACTCAAATATTTGAATGAGTGAGTCCCATTCAAATTTAAACTCCATGTATCAAAGCCCATCTCACCAATCTAATCTCAGCTCCCTTGACTATACAGTAAGTACCCTCTCTCTGGTTATACCAGTTGGTCCCTGAGATCATTTTTGCCTTCTGACTTGAGATCAAGGTATGCATTCTAATTGGAATACCTTATACCTTACCTATTCTTTATGTATCCATTTTTCAAGTTCTATATGCTCCAAGTCCTTTCCTAATTAGTTTGGACCACATTCTCTCTAGACTTCACAAAAGCACATACTTTGAAATTAGTATTATTTTATGTTTCATGACAGCGAAGTCTGTCTCCAAAGCTTAAATATTATATAGCCTTCCTGAAACAAGTGGCACACCACATATACTTTAATATTTCTCGCTATACGTAGCATAGCACAAACCTAGAATGGTGTTGATACACAAAAGGCATCTGATAAATATTATTCCTAACTTATATATCATAAAAAAGTTTAAGTAACTTAAGAAATATAGACAATAAATATCATGTAGATTGAAGAAAACAAATTTAACAAAATAGTTCTATTAAAGTAATTTTGTTTTATAACATTAAATTTCACTCTGACATTTCAGTAAGCCTAGACTTAATTAAAAAACAAAGCAAGACACTATCGCTGAAGACAAATGGATGCATAAGCAAACTGGTGAAGACAGCTGATGGTGCCCGACTATTAAAAGATATAGCATCTGGGGGCTTGAAGGTAAACAAGT